ACACCCCTACATACACACCCCTATGAAGCAGAAGGGGAAACCCCCCACCTCCTTTACCATGGGAAAGAAAACTCCAGAAGAGCAGGAGATATTCCTGCAAGGGATGAGGTAGCACAGAGGGGAAGCTGCATGGCTCACTGCAAGGGGCGTCAGAGTCTTGCAACACTCACAAGCCATCTGCAGTACTCCTACTAATGGACACATTCGCTTAGACAGACTGTGAGCAAAGGGGCCAGGTCATTCTTCCATCCACAGAACATTACTACATGAGGTGAAAAGCAATAGCTCCCAGAACAGAAGGGTTCCCATAATAATAAGTGACAGAGATACACATACAACACACAAAGCTAATTCTATGTATATTTAGTCAGGAGAAAAGCCCACCAAAATCAAAAGCCTTCCTTCCGCATCAAGAATGCAGAGGTTTACAAAGGCCAACACTGGATACATCTGGAATTCTGAGAACATGATGTGGGCACTACGGCTACCGCTGGGGGGAGGGGGGAGCATCCATGCTCAAAAAAGCAGATAGGTTATAGAGCCCAGATAACACAAAGGTACATTGAGGCTCACAGACATTACACGGGGGAGTCTACTGCAAGCTGGTGGATCAGGCCAAACATACACATGGGTGGACACATGCACACGCACACAAGCCACTTCTGCTCAAAGACTGCCATAAGCAGCAGAGAATAGTTATCTTCCTGCCAGAGGCATCTGATGAATCCAAAGTTTTCCTCAAAATGTGCACTGTGACATCATGCTGCAAGTTCTGACCTTTCTGTACAGGCATGCAACGTCACAGCACACCTACAAAAGGGACAGCATTTGTGTCACAATGCTGCAATGCACACGTCATCATTTCCACCATCATCCCGCCTTGCCCACCCAGTTCCAGCCATTCTCTTCTTCCCCCATCACCTGCGTTGCTCCCACCAACAGGGCCTCTCAGGTCCTGGGAATGCTTCTGTCCTTGGAGGACTCCATCATCAATGATGCAGTTCTCAACAAGAGCCTGCTGTCCCTCATAACGGGAGAACTGCAGATTTAGCAGCTGTTCTACAAGGGCTCAGGGATAAGACAGAAAATTCTCCCACTGGAGCTGCCAGAGAGCTGCTAACACAGACAAGGCCTGAGGAGCTCTAAGGCGGCGGCACCGGAGGAAAGTGCAATGGGAGCAAATCCTAAGATCCTCCCACAGTACCTTTGGGGCGCGTATTTGTGTTTTTGCACAAAAGAGAGAGAGAGAGAAAGCCCACAAAACTGCCTGGCAAGTCGTTTTTGAAAGGGATCAAGTTAAAATCTTTCCAGAGTTATGCAAGTCCTGTTTAAAGCTCGCCTGAGTTCTCTGGAGCGTGGCAAACGGAGCCTTTGCCACACATCCAAGCGCCTTAACCTTATCGATAAAGAGATTATTTAAGAGACAAAAGAAATTGGCTTCAATAAGAAAAGCAGCTTACCATACTTGTCCAGGAAGAGAAACACAAAGGTATCAGCTATTGTTATGAGCACTCCTCCCCACAAAGGGACTCTGTGAGGAGACAAAACAGGTCACAAACGTCAGATGACTCTAAATAGGTCAGAGTCCGCCCAATCATTCCTTCCATTTAAGGCCGTCAGTTGAAGGATGCAGCCCAGGTTTATCTCTAAGTGATGTTGGGAGAGGTGGACAAATCACATTTAAGGGCCAGGGGAGACTCATAACCATCTAGAGAGCAGAAAGCTTCCTGAACCAGGAAACAGACCAGGCAGTTTGCTAGAAATTTATGGAGCAAAACGTTGCCCATTTCTAGCTATACGCACGCAGAAAAGTGACATATTTTGTGCAGTTTGGCTGCTACCCCTGGCTCCGTCATGTTGAAGTGTGAGTCCTCCAGTCACTTCAGAAGACCAAACGTGCTTTTACGATGAACAAGGAGACAAGCGGACTCCATTATTTGTTACACTATTTCAAAGGCAACCATATCTGCCTGTGCTGCAGCCATCATTTAAGAACCCCTAACTCTGAGACGGAATTTTGTTAAGGCTTATTCAGAAAGGAACTGAAGCAATGATAGCTAGGCTCACCATACAGCAGGAGCCCCGAGGTGTTGAGTCGATAGGCACACCTGGAAGTCGGTGAACGTTTTGCTTTTGCTAACTGCACAGAGGCACCTGGAAGGGCTCCCCATTCCAAAAAAGGCTGCTATGAGGAATACAACCAGTGGGAAAGTGCTGATTTCCCAGGATATCGCCTGACACCCACTCTAGTACCTCACTCCAGGCTGTTTTCTACTGTTCCTGCTTATCTTTGTCGCTTTCCTGGGCAATGGACACACCTCTAAACAAAGTACTGAGATGCGGCCACCCATTACTTCTACTTTTTAAGAAATCTTGGGGAGCTCATTCATGGAGCAGAGGAATTTGGAAATTAAGACACTGCTGGCACTTTGCAGCACACAGCTTCTCTTTTTTAAAAACTGAAAATGCATTACATTTTAAATACATCTAAAAAGTAACATGGGGTGGGGCCAAAAAGGTGTCTGGGCATCTTTAGGTGCCATTTGGTGATGCTTATATCAAAAGAGACCACTGATACTACATCAGGCTACATCTGATATTGCATGTGGCCCCCAAAAGCTTTAGTGACCTTCCTCACACCTTTTAGAATGGGGTCCTTGGCATGCACCCAAAGTCTATCTGTGGCCCTCAGCCTAGAGTAAGCTGTTCACACATGATCTACAATGAATGAAAGTCAAGCACCAGAGTTTCAAGCAGGAGTCTTTCCCAGCCTCATCAAGATGTGTCAAGAGTTGAACAGTGGAAATTGCATGTTCCCTTCACATTGGACTATGGCTTTCTCACCAACCCATTATACTAGAAAGTGGTATACACACACACTAATATACCAAGGATACTCTCCTGATCAGGCCAGAGGTCCTTCTAAACCAGGACTTGATACTATGGAATTACCAACCAAATTGAACTTGGAAGCTTGCAAGCAGGATATGAGAGCAATAACCCTCTCCTATTGTTTCTCCCTACTAGTAACTGGCATTTAAGACATATATGCTTCCTGTATTATGGAGTTAATAAAGCATAAAACAGCCCCTGATAGTCTAATTGTTCATGGACTGCATTAAAATTATCTCAACCCTTGGCCATTAATCCGATGGCAGTGAATTTCACAGCTTAACTGTGTTGGGTCAAAATGTCTTTGATTACTCCAAGTTACTCTGATTCAATGTTAGTGAATGGCTATATAAACACACTGAGGGAGAAAGAATTTTTCAGGGAAAGACACAAGAAAAGGATAAATATCTTCAAATAGTTGAAGTAAATAAAACGAAAGCTGAAGGAACTGGAGCTAGTTTTGCTTAAAAGTCATCTGCTCCACAATCAAAGCTCATTTTCAAATATGACCTACCTATAGAAGTGTAAAAAGTCTTGCCATTAAATGCCCCAGAACTAATATGTAAATTCTCATATGTGTCCAGTTAACAAGGGCTCTTTCAATGATGGAATACATTGACTAGGGAAAGGAATTCCTAGATATGATTTGATAGGGAATTCTCTTGCTAGACTGTATCTTTGTGTTGTTTCAACTGATGACTAGCAGGACAATGCTTAAACCACAAGACACTCAGAGAATTAAACAGCTAACTTACCTCCCAACAGACAAGAGGTTAATGGCAATTGCTGAGCCAATGACTTCCTGCATATCGGATCCGATGATAGCCAGCTCCACCATCAGCCACAAGATAAGTCGGGGAACCTAGGCAAAAACTCAGAATGTAATGCTTAAAAGTGACATCTTCTCCACCACACCCCTGGGAGTAGCCAAGCTGTGGCTACCGGCTCCCTTCCAAAAGCTCTTTGCAACGGATCAGTTCATATCTCTGCAAACAGCAATCTGCCCCCTCCCTGATAGTCCACTGGGTGGGAAGTCAAGAAAAGGGATAGGAGAGAGAGAGAGAGAGAGAGAGAGAAAAGGAGAAGCAGAAAAAGAGAGGGTAAGAACATGGTGGGGCTCATTAAGTCTGCCTACTGCCTGAATAATTAAATTGTGCATGAAAGGAAGCCACATTTGCCCTGAATTTCTTGGCAGTTTGGAGTAGAAACCTTTTGTCCATCCTGGAGTTCCCTTCTACACAGAAGGGAGGCAATCCAAAGCCAACACAAAGTGACACGCTCTTCTTTCCAGCATACAGGAGCAGTGATGTATACTCACTTACGTGGAGTAGAACACTTTGGGAAATATACTTGCCCATGTTATTCAAACCTTAGTGTTAATATTCTAGTCCAATTCTAGCTAATAATCTCCACAATGAATCATGCACCCACAGCTTACAGAAGCCACCCAAAAAATCCTTCTTCCTCCCCCGTGCATTGAGCAATGAGAAAGAATCATCGTAGTCTAATTTTAGAAAGCAAACTCTCCTAGCACAGGGAGGATTCAAGTGTCTCCTGACCAGCAACCGCCTACATGGGTGGCTGTGCCAGGAATTTGGCAAGTCAGAAACTAACAGATAACCCAAAAGTTTATAAAGTCACTTCTAAACCAACAGACAGCTACGCAGCAGATGCAGGACCCATACAAGACACAGGTTTACAGGCCAAGAGTTTGCTAGCAGGTGCCGTGGTTCAAAATGTTTCTCAAAGACTTTTCTGCTCTGGAAAGCAGCGAACATTGAGAAGACTGCAAAAGAAGATCCCGGATTTTGCTGAATTTTTGCTAAGTCTTTTCAAACCTCGCCTGGTGTTAGTTTGCTGTGGCACTCTGAAGAGAGAAGCCTAAGAAGCCCCAGGCTCCCAAGTGCCACCCCTGCAGCTCCCTTCTCGTGCCGAAGTATCGGTCCTCCCAGAAACTGACTCCTCCCACGGAGTCCCAAAGTTTCCAATGGGACCTTCATAATAACAAGAGGGAGCTGCGTTGGAGCAGTTTCCACACCACCTTCATCCCAGTAAACTGCAGAATGCACCATTACCCTTAGGGAAAGATAGTTGTTACAATAAGAATGTAACCTAGATATTACCAGAATTAAAACATTCTACCTACTGAGAATATTCTAACATAACTCCAGAGACAGGGAAGGCAATCAGTAGATTTTATTAGTTGGTTTGTTAAGATTTCTATGCTGCCTTTCCTTCAGATGTGCCAGAATCCAGGAAGTGTTTACTTTTCCAAATCATCTATGAACATGCATATGTGCACACAGACCACCCAAAGAGAAGTATGACGGAGCAACCAAAAGATAATTAACACTGAAGGGAGGGGGGGGAACCCTGTGTTTTGTAGGAGAGTTCTGCATCTCTAAGCAACTGTCTTGCCAAAACAGGCCCAAAAGGAATTTCATACTGAACAAGATATTCTGTAAGCTTGTGTACATCCACATTTTTAGGAGACTCATTTATCAGTAGTTGAAATAATTATGGGAACAACATTAAACACATACTGCAGAAGCATTACTTGAACAGAGAAGACAGAAAGGGGCATTTGCAAGCTAATTTGGAAACCAAAGGTTCTGACCCATTAATCCAAATGCATGCTTTTACTCAGTGATGAGATTTTCAGAAGACATCCACTGATTGTATTATTGATCTATTATTAAACAGTCATTTCCTGACTCTGAATAAGAGCCACGCGGGAGAGTCCCCACATGAAGAAAAAACACTTCCTGAGGATATGTGCAATGAATGTCTGTATTCAAATCCAGCAAGCCCAGATCCTCCTCCTCTCAGAACCAGAGCTTTCTGGACCACATAAACACCATATTCACCCATGCAAAATATGAGTTTCTTCCTCCAATTAATTTCCACTGAAGTGGGAAAATCATCTTGTATTTGTGGAATAGAGGCAGACCCCATTGTTGAAAGGGAGGAGCCACCACATCAACCTCACTGAGAGAGAAGACTGCAGAAAAAACGTGGGGAATCCATGGTTGGGAACCGTCTCTATTCGTGGACCCCAAGCTCTTTTGCAAAGACATCTCTCATCTGCCTCACGGTCTATCCCTGGGGGCAAGCATCCTCTCTTTTCTTTGTTCCCTACTCAGTTTTCTCTTCCCTTCATTTCCTCTGGGTTCTTCTCTTTCCTTCTCTTCTGATTACAGTGACCTTTCCCCTTTACCCCACCTTCATCCTGGCCTTCTCCTTAAAGGGAGATGGGGGAGTATGCGTTTGTGTTGTGAGAGAGAATGAGGCAATTTCTGTAACCTTTGTTCTCTGGAATAATCCCCCTATCTCATTCTTTTTTATCTTGTTTGCTTGCCCAGCTGTTTTTATACCCAAGACCTCAGACTCAGATTTCAGAGCCTTGAGAACTATCCACACCTCTAGCACCTTTCTCTGGACTTCTCTTCCTTCCTGGTTCCAGTCTTCTTAGTTTTTGCAATCTTGTCTCTCTGTCCATCTATTGTCTGATCCTGCAGAGACCATATCTGCACATCATGTTTTCCTAGACCTATGGCTAAAAGACAGGCATGATTGCTATCAACTGTTGCTCCTGCCCATGCGTGTTTGCCACTGTCAAGCTCTCATTTAGCACAGTTTGGCAAACACACATACACATTTGATTATGGATCTGTCCACCTAATGGAAATCTGAAGCATGGTGAGAGGTTAGTTTGGTAATGACTTCTTCTGGTATGATAAAGTCAGAGTCAGCATTCACATCATGCTAAGCTGAGCTAAACAAACCATGGATAGGCCATTAGTAGTGCCCATTTGAGTGAAGAACCAGTGGTTGCAAGTCAATGTGTTCAACACTTAACAAAATGCTTAGATACTCATGACAGGCAAACTGGCTCTGGAAGCCCCAATCCTATAAAAAGCAAGTCCCTCTGCTCCCTGGCATGTCCATGCAGACAAGATGCACAGCCAATTTACCCACCTTGGGGTATTGTCGATTGCATACTTCTGCCAGATGAAGTCCTGTTACCACACCCAGCCTTGCTGCCAGACGCTGTAACAGCAAACCAATGACAGTAGCCAACAAGAGAACCCAGAGCAGCTGAAAGATATAAACATACATTAAAAGTGAAAAGCAGCCAAGGTGCCAGGATTCTGGAAGATGGACAACAAATCCAGGATTCTGCTAACCAAAAGATACCTGCATTTCTGGAGATACTTATCCAAGCCCTAAACTATAGCCCTCTCACAATCAAAACCTGGCCCTAGAGAATTCCACTTTTCACTGGACATATTTGGGGTTTTGTTCTGGAGTGTTTACTGCTGAAGCAGGACATTCCAAATAGGTCTTTGCTACATAAACATCCGTTTATGCAGAATTCTGGAAGTCTGAAACGTCTCAGAGAGATTCCTCTGCCTACTTTCTCAAAAGAACTACAAATCCTATGCTTTCTGGAGCATGACTGTAGAGTTGATTGAAGCTTGCAGCAAAGACAGATATTGGCATGGGGCCAAGTCATCTGAGGGACCACCTCTCCCCAATTACATCAGCCTGTCCCATTAGATCCAGCAGAAAGGGTTCCATCTGCGAGAGACCTACATTTGATGGACTTTCTCTGCTATGGCACCCACCTTATGGAACATTCTTCCCTCCAAAGTTAGGTTATCTCCATCCCTGTTAATATTTAGGAAGTCCCTCAAGACCTGGTTATGTCACCAGGTTTGGCAGCCCCAGGAAACAGGAGACATTTTAAGGTGGCTCCGCTATTGTGAGTGATATGTGGTTGCTATACCTCTCTCTCTGTGGTTTGTATATTTTAATTTTGTAGTGATTTTTAATTTTTTAATAATGTTTGTCTTTATGACTGCTTTTATAATGATTGTTTTTATATTGTTTTATTTGATTGTTGTACACCACCCAGAGTCACTTCTGGTGAGATGGGCGGCTATATAAATTTGATAAATAAATAAATTAATTAAAAACTAGATTTTAATCTAGTAACTTTTTTTAAACGTGGGAAATTACACACGTTGCTTCCAGTAATCTAACCAACCAAGCATGAGGCTAATTCACTGGGAAAGCTAAGGGTCAAATAGTAAAGAGAGTCACAGCTTTTTAAAATTCTATTTTGTTTCCATATTCTGAAATACTAACATTTAAAAACCAGTGTTTTAACATTTCAGATTCTTCCTGAGGTGGTATCTTGTCAGCAGTACCTTTCCACTTAGCTTTACTCTAGCAAAACTTGAGGTTCCTGTGCTAATTTAGAAATTACGTGACAGATTTGTAGGACTAATTGAAATTCTATCCCCTCTGCCCCAATTCTAATGGTATGCCTCTACATGGTAAGAGGTAACCCTTGATGAACCGAAAAGATAGTACGCTCTGTTGAATCAACATGGCTCATGGCAATTAATCTTCGATGTGAATCAGTTCAATGTGACTCAGATGCAAGAACACAGGCCAGGAAGATTCTCCTCTGTTGTACATTACTGTTATTCCCCAACACTGCAAAGTCCCATTTTCAAACATTTTCAGTGTACAAACTCAGGACAGCATTTGTCACAGAAAGGTGTCTAGAAAAATCCTTGTTTTGATGAGTGCCCTAGGATTGCTAAGGCATTCTTCAGATCAAATTCTACAGCAGCTTTCAAGGTGAAAAGCTTCAGCTAAGGTTAACTACTTACCTTAAACCCTGCAACAGCCCCAGATTGCAGATCTGATTCGATGTTACCTGGATCCAGATAGGCAATGCTCATCAGAAAACCTGGTCCGGTGAAGGCCCACAGTTTCCGAAAACTGAACCATGAGTGCTTTACAAACAGAAATGGAGAAGGGGGGGGGGGAAGAGAGGTTAAGGGTTTTCACACAAGGGAATACACACATTCACACAGAAAGCTCCTATGCTGTTAGTTATTTGCTACTATTTAAATCCAAGAAAATTGTTAATTCAAAAAGGCAAAGCCCCATATCTTACTCACTCCAAATAGGGCATGGTGCTATGAGACGAGTTTACTTCCATAAGAAATTACACTCGGTCTTGCAAAGTCTGTTCTAGGAAACCCCTATATTTTTCTTAAACCTTGATGTGGAAGATTCAGTTAGCACCTTTAGACAATTAAGAGTACTTTGCAACAGATCAATTTTCAATTCTTTAACAATTGAATTGTTGAACAAATGTTTACATTACTTCTTCACCACCATCCCAAATTATACTGCTCAAATTAAGAAAGCCTGAGATATTGAAAAAGATGAATTTGTGCTTGCAAAGACTATGGGCCCTATTCAATACTCAGAACAAATATATAATGCTAGAGCAGTGTTTCTCAACTTCAGCAACTTTAAGATGGGTGGACTTCAACTAGGAAACAGTAATCCTCTGTGAAGACAACAGCTACTGTCTTTAATTTCTGAAATGAGTGGCTGAATTTGTGCTTGCAAAGACTATGGGCCCTATTCAATACTCAGAACAAATATATAATGCTAGAGCAGTGTTTCTCAACTTCAGCAACTTTAAGATGGGTGGACTTCAACTCCCAGAATTCCCCAGCCAGCAGGGAGTTGAAGTCCACCCATCTTAAAGTTGCTGAGGTTGAGAAACACTGTGCTAGAGAGTAAAAAACTTCATCCTTGGCTTAAATATCTCCTTATTACAATTCTTATTTTGAATTCCAAAGTGAAAGCCTTTATAACAGAAGGTCCTTATAGTCAGGCCAATCCGTAGGTGACGCAATCTTTTCAACAACCAAAATGAACAAAAATGAATACTGGTGCAGCCACTCATTTCAGAAATTAAAGACAGTAGCTGTTGTCTTCACAGAGGATTACTGTTTCCTCTGTGTACTCATTCAACCATTACTCTGGCTAGAAAAAGTACTTGCTCAGTCCATCACCTCCCATCCTTGAGGAGTATTAGGAAGAAGCAGCAAACAGCTTGTTCTCATTGGAACAACCTTCGAATTGCGTTAGAGATCAAACATATTCCATGCTATAACTTTTTGTTGTTGTTGCATGTTTTTCACTTTTATGTTAAAGCACTTTTATGTATTTTTTTGGCCTTTTTTTGTAATTAAAAATAAAAAATAAAAAAATTAATTGGGAAAAAAACCCCATATTCCATGCTAGGAAGGGTGCAGCAAAGAAGAGCGCAGATTTTTAAACACTAAAGGCATCTTTTGGTCTTTAACTGAAACATTTTGTAGAGCAGCTTTTCCCTCTCTGGATACTTCCACATGTTTTAGAATTTTAGAATTCTCACCAGCTTCAACTGACGGAGCCAGAGGTTAGGGCTGATGGAAATTACAGTTAAAAGCGCTTAGAGGGACACTGACTGAGCACAATACTTAGAGTTAAGGCTCATTCTCCACCAATCCCTGAGTTTCCGCATCAGTTACTGATTTAAAATTAGAAGAAAGCAACTGCAGAGCAGTGACTCATGCAGACACACAGCAGGCAATCAAGAGACCAAGTTAATTCTCTTGTAACTTCAGAAAGATCTAAATGTTCCACTGGTATATTTTGGAGATTTATATTGAACCTGAGCACCAGTTGAGCACATCTTGAGCAAATTTTACTGTGCCTGGTAACTCTCCTTCACACTACCCCCCATCTGTGACATAATGGTGCGCCCCAATAGAACACCAGGGAAATTATCATTAATAGTGATCCCACCATCATTCTTAGTAATCATACTAACCTTTTCATCTTCTGGTATAGGTACTTTCTGATCAAAATAGGTGGTAAATTGATCTGCAGAGTCCATAAGCTGTGGCGTCACTGGGTTGCTATAAATGGTGTTAACGCCATCCCCAGAGGTATCCTCTGCAAGCCAACAACAGAATGGAGCGATAAGGAAAAGTGGAGAAGTAGGAAGAGTAGAAGAGTAGCAAAACAGATGCGCAGGCAAGTGCATCATGTTGTGTCTCATCCACTGGAAAAAAAAACCTGATGCCATTTGAAAATGTTATCCATTATACCAATACATTTGCAGGATGCCAGGTAGGAATAAGATGATCTAACCTGTAGCTCAACAATGAACTTAAATTAACAATCGTAAAACTAGCCATCCTTTGCATACAGTAACTGATATATATATGCACCAAGACGTTGTCATTTATACAAAGGTATTAAATCCTTAATTGCTTCACACATATTTATGTTGTTTGCTAAAACAGACAAAAACTGAAATTTGATTCAAAGACACACATGCAGACTTAAATCATGTTAGACAAGAATGTATGCATATACAAAGTATGGATGCTCTTCCCAGAATACCGACGAAACACAGACAGCTTGATGACTCTTCCAATCCCCAGATGTAGCTCTCTGAAGACATGGCTTCACTGTCTAAGACCCTGCACTCCAGACTTATGGGAGTGTTAGAACTGACAAAGAGCTTCTAGCTTTAACAGAAAGTGAACTCTAGATCTGGGTGACTTTCGGCAGTGGCTACAGAGTTGTCTTGGGATGAAGACACCTACCATTCTTTGGGACATTTCCTATACTCATACAGATATACAGATGCAAGCTAAAACTCCTGCCAAGCCTAATGTCCGAAAGCTGCTCTTTGAATGCATCTGTAATCATGTTCATTTGATTACAACTACAGTTAGACTGATTCTGGCTCTTCCCTTGCAAGCTGTAGCTTTCTGGGGTAAGAATGTTTCTTTTTTTCCAATCTATGTGGTACGGGAAATAATTTGCTCTCCTTTCTGCTTAACTATCACATAACCGAGGCCATCACCTCCCTTTCCTTATCCGTTTGTTTCAGAAATTATATTTTTGATTGAACATCTACAGGGTGGGGATCTGGGCATTATTAAGATCCTCACCCTGTAGACATGCAATCAAACTTTGTTAAAGTTTTATCTACAGTACTTTATTTACGTCTGCTTAAAGCAGTTATTTTAATATGCTTAATTGTAACTCTATAGTTGCCACCTCTTCTTCCCCTAAACCTAAAATATTTTCTTCATCTGAAGTTCTTGTGTGCTTTGTTCATTGATGAAAGAGATTCTGATCTGCTTGATTTCCTACTGACAACTCCCTGGCTACACACTTCTGGAATGAAGATGCTGGACTGGGCTGATCTTCAGTTCTATTCATCAGGGCTGTTTTGAAACACAAACATTCACCTTGTTAATGAGTCCTGTAGCTTTATTTCCCCCTAAACCTAGATAAACATGGACATCCTACTGAATCCATGTCTTGATTTGTTTTGGAAAAGTGTTGGGAATAGATTATATCTCTTCCATCACCCCAGCAAGAAATACATCGAAGGGTTATGGGGACACAAAGCTCCACAAAAGGCATTCACAATACTTTTCCTCAAAATAGCACTCCATAGCCCAGCCACAAGGAAAAGGTATGTCTGCAAAGAGTTTCACATCACAGCCTGTAACTTTAAACTACCACCTCCCCTCCTGGAGAGCAGGCTCCAGTTGTACTCACTCTTGTATTCAAGCTTGTATTCTCCATGTGGCATTATGGCTCAGCTCTGCTTCCAGAGATCAAAAAAGCAGGCTGACACCTGCCTCCTTGGGACGTACAGAAGGGACTAATTTATAGCTACAAACAGAAGCAGTAAACAGAGAGAGACAGGAACACTGTTCTATTGAGACAATGAACTTGGTTTCTCCTCCTACTTCTCCATTCTCTCCGCCTTCCAAGGAGGAGATGCCATTCAGTTTACATGATAGCTTTAAAGCAACAGCCACCCCGTCTCTTGAAAACCACTCCCAGAAGAGCCAACCTCACCTGGCTCGGCTAGTTAAACAAAGCTGAAAAAGTCTAAGGAACAGTATGTAGGACACAGCAACAACCTGTTGCACTGTAAATAACAGGCAACCTGATCAAAGAGGTAAGCTCCGACAAGACTTTGGCAGACTGCAGTGTAATGGAATGTCCTCTCCTAAGCAGGTACGTTAACTGCAGGTCAGCAAGGAAAATAGTCCGTTCTACCAGGAAATAATAGAATGGTTTCTATTCATAACCTACTGGCAGCTTATTGGGGAGGAAGATAATTAGCAATCTTATGCAGAACTGCAGCGTGGGAGCAGGAAATTTCAACTGGGGGATTTAAATGAAGGGAATTTCCCAGCCTTAAGCTTCACGCTGCAATAGGTGAATGCTCAACCAAAGATTCAGCCGCAAGTGGTGCCCTACTGCCACAGTAGGTAGCATTACAAACAGCTCAGGCAACAGTATATGAGTTTTTTTGGATCTCTTCCATTTTTCTAGTGAAGCCAAAACAATGACCTCCGAACACCCCCAGCTTTACCTCTAGAGTCCATCAGAACCTCCTTTTTATAAAACATGCCACTTCTTTGCACCCATCCATTTCCTCTTGAAAATACTGGGGTGACCTGAAATTGTACAAGCTCTTGTTCAAATCAGAGAAAGGAACAGAGTTCAGAGCTGCGCAGGATCACATCAAAGGCCTCCCTCCTCCAGCATTCTGATCCCACAGTGTGTCCACAGGCTCTCGCTGCTGTCATCAGAATGATAAAAGCAGCGTTGTGGTATCATGATGCAAGCTCTGCCCTTCTGGGCATGAAATGTTGCAATGCACATAGGAAAGGGGCGGGCCATGCACTGCAACACCACACTGCTGCTTCTTTCAGTCTAACTCCCTTGTCCCCCACTCTCCAACTCTGCCGGGCCTTTGGGAAGCCCCCAAAGAGGTAAGACAGCAATTGTACCATCACACTAATGCTTCCTTGTAGAGGCATGCTGGATTACCAGAAGAAAGAGTCATCACGATTAGTAGCCACTGACAGCATTATCGGCCATGAATCAAAATGCTTTTTAAAGCCATCCAAACACACAGCATCATTACAGGCCAGAGGAGCAAAATCCATATTTTAACTATGCACTGTGTGAATTATTTTGGATAAAAACATAGTTGCTTATCAGAAAAAATAAAGGTATGGATATTCTGAATGAAAAATTATGCAAAATATAATTTTGATTCTTATGGCATTTGGCTCTGCCCTCTTTCTTAATGGCACCATTCTGCACATCTATAGCTGAATGAGGAGCAGCAGATATTTAACAAATGAAACGTTTCCCAGAACAACATTCTTTTGGGTGAGGTAACTCAATGGCTGGAGAAATATGGGTAATATAAGGGTTGTGTAACAGTATGTGAAACACCTCTAGAGGGCATCCACAGAAACGGACAATAAAATATTTGTATTAAAAAAATCATAAATTCTGATTTAAGAGCTCAGGGATGGGACTGCCAACATCTCAAGAGATTTGGTGTTCCTGAAATATTTTTTTTACTATTAGCTACTGAGTTACTGTAAACAAAATACTCAGTATTGAGCGATGACTGAAGCAAAAACCCTACGGCTATTTGGTCACCCGTGATATAATTTCTTCTAACTTTATTTTGAGGATAAATAAATGTATTTTAAAATCTCACTGCCATCACCCCATAATCAATAAATGTAATATAGTATCTTAGCCATATTGGGGATATTTTTGTATTCCATTGATTATGAACTCTAACAATAACACTGTGTGAACAAATAGTACAGAATAGAAGCTGTTTCTATTTAGACCTAGATCAACAAAATTCAATGCTTATTACATGGTATTATTTCTCTTTTCATCTGTACTGATTGTTCCCTTTTCCGCTCCATTCCTTTGCTTCTATGACTAACTATCAGCTGCCTCTCTCCTCACATGTTTCTCTCCCCTTCTAATTTTCTGCCCCAATTTCCTTACAGGGAAGTCTCCAGTTGACTTTTTATATGCATTCTATCAAAGCAGTAATCTACTGTTTGATCTCAGCACTCTCCCACTTGGCTTTCTTTTCCATCAAGAAAGTTGTGACTGCACAATCAGAATTTTCACAGAACCTGGATTCCATCAGCTTAGAGGGGAAGCAAAGCAGCTAAAGGGAATTAAAACCAAGGAATTATCCCTGCTGTGGCCCTCTGAAGTTTCAACTAAATCTACTTTAGAAATACCTATATTTTATCTGCAACTAGAAATTTGAAAGTCTGATAGGTAAGAGGAGATCTATTTAAAAGTATTTTGGGATTCAGACAAATATATTCTCAATAATTATTTCATAATTCACAAACTTCTTGAAACACACCAAAAAAGGCAGAATAACTAAAACTCTGGAGGATAAGAATGGCCAATCATCAAGCCATCTTATATTTATCTCACAAAGAGACCTGGTGCATGTGAGTACAAATGAATGAGTTTAGACTATAAAATGTTTCGAATAACAAAAGACAAAAAGAATAGATTGAAAGAATGATATGGCCAAGTTAATAGGCAAGATTGGAATTATACAAACACACACACATACACACATATAATTTATATGTGTATATTCAATATTATGTGCGTGTGTGTGTGTATATATATACACACACATACACTATGTGTCTGTGTATGTATTTGTGTTACTTTATGATAATCTCTAGAAGTGATTAATCAAATATATGCTAATCAGACATGCACATACAAAAATATCTAGAAAAATATCTTCATGTCAAAATCCAAAAACACATTTTAAAACCCATTTCAACAAAATTCATCTAAAAAGTACTATGCCAGTTTTATAATTGGGTCACCATGAAAAAAAAGAGAAGATCTTTATAATTGACTACATTAGCTATCTATTTGGCAAAACACCATTATATGTTGCCTCCAAAGCCAGTTAATGCTCTGCTTTATATATATCGCATATATTAGTGGAAATAATCAACAGGTTCAAATGGCAAAGATATTTCAACAATTCTAGCTGTACAGAGGTTCCAATTCTTTATTGGAATTTTACAATATTGTCTGTCTAATTATTTGAACCTAGAGAACCATTAGTGATGCTGCGTTCCATTCAAATGGCTTTTTTACTTTACTGCATTTGGATTTCTCACTGGAAACTTATGAAAGGAGAACTTATGAAAGGTCCTCATTATTTTACCAAATATAGGCCTCCTTTAAGGAAGTTCACCAATTATAGATAAATAAGCCTAGGGACGTCAAGGAAGATATTATCCATTTTCAATCAAGGAAATAATCAAAGGACTCTAATTGTTTAATTTAAATTAAACAGCAAAAGAGTCAGCTCTCTGCGCAGCTGTATGCAAGCCATGAGACCTGGATTATGCAGAAAGTACAGCAGAGGGATCTGTTCCTCCAGACAGTGTTAAAAATATGTAGAAGACTGACTCCAAACACTCTTTATCTAGAAATAGTCTATGTAAAGGGGAAATTCACACAGCCCTGTTCACATTAAGATAACCAGATGAAGGCTGAATATCACCTTAACGCAGCCTGGAGTTCTACGAATCCAAAAACATTTTGTTACATGAAGTCCCCTTGCAATGGAACAATCGAGAGAGGAAAAATGCATTATAATACAGTGGTACCTCTACTTACGAAATTTTTGAGATACGACCAGCTCCGGCCCCAAAAATTTACCTCGATGTGCGAACTCCACCTCGAGGTACGGCCATTTTTCCACCCTGACACGTGGTCCATGGCCATTTTTCCGTCCTGACCCGTGGTCTGCAGCCATTTTTCCGCCCCTGACACGTGGTCCATGGGCGTTTTTCTGCCCCACCGCGCGGTGCGCAGGCGTTTTGCCGCCCCGCTGCGCGGCGCGTGGGCGCTTTTCTGCCCCTGACGCGTGGTCCACGGACGCCAGAACGGATTAACGGTAATTATATTGAACCTTATGGGAAAATTTGCTTTGGGGTGTGACCAAATTCGGAGGGCGGAACGGATTAACCGTATTTACATTGAACCTTATGGGAAAATTTGCTTTGGGGTGTGACCAAATTCGGAGGGCGGAACGGATTAACCGTATTTACATTGAACCTTATGGGAAAATTTGCTTTGGGGTGTGACCAAATTCGGAGGGCGGAACGGATTAACCGTATTTACATTGAACCTTATGGGAAAATTTACCTCGACTTGCAACCAACTCGACTTGCGATCTGAGTCACAGAACGGATTAAGTTCATAAGTAGAGGTACCACTGTACTACATTCCGCAAAAAATTAAAGTTAACATATTCCTGATTAAGTTAATGCATATCAATGAGGTACCATGATCTTGATGCCCTTTGAGCAATTAATCCATCAGGCTCAAAGTGAAAAAAAAAATTACATCTGTAATACATACATGGACATGGACAATTCTTTCTTTTCCCTTAAAATCATTATCGGAAGCCAGCTTGAAAAGGACAATTTGATTTTGCCTAGAATACACTCTGGACACTTTCTATGAAAATAATTATCCTCAGCAATAGAGAAAGTTGCCCAGATAGTGGTACACAGGTAGCACTTTATATCTCTTAAAGTCTTGTTTGATTTGAGCTTGGCTTCTGGTGACTTCATGCACACATCCATGTGATTTTCTTGATCACAGTTTGGAAGTGTTTTGCCACTGCCTTCTCTCAAGAACTTTCTTCAACCTTTCAGTATTCTCTACAACCTTGATGTTTCCTGATAGCTTCCCATTAAAGTATTATCCAGGTTGAGTAGATGTTCCCACCTAGCTGGGCATATATTCTATAGACTTAAAATTAAAAGACTTCCCCATATGGTTGGAGGGGCTACAAAATAACATGTCATGGATTTATATGTGATTTAACTTGCTCATGTATATTTAACAGAATGAAATTCAGTGTTATATTCACACTCTTTTAATATACTTAATAAAGTAATACAAGTCCCCTACAATAGGGACTGAAGTTGCAAAAAAATAAAAAACTGCTTAGGAATCTCAAAAAAGGGATGAACATGGTGTGCAAGTTGGCTCTGTTAGAAAAACTAACTTTAAAAGTGGGACAGCAGACCATAATTTCTAATAGTACAATTCTCTTTTGTAGCATTCGTTCATTGCCTTTCAAAAGTGATATGCCCACTGATTAAACAATTGCTTCTGGAGGAGCATACACTAAACATTAGACTACATACTAAGAGTAGGTAGATATAACAGCAGATACAGATATTTTTCAATGTAATAAACAGATAATTTTAAAAGGCACTTATTTTATTCTTTGTTAGAGAATTGGTTAGAAAGCCCACAGCCAAGTGGCAGAGCATTTGTTTTGCATGTATACGTGTCCAGTTCAATGCTAGACATTTCCAGGCAGTCTGAAAAAGAATCCCATTTGAAATGCTAGTGGGCAGCTTTCAGCTTGAGTAGATAATACTAAATTAGAGTTACTAATAGGCCCAAAGAAGACAATTTCCTATGCTGTTATGAAGGTGGTCTGTTTAGATTTCTCCTCGGTATCTCAGATCAAAAGGTACTAAGGAAGAACCGAAAAATACCAAGTGACCACACACAGCTTCCAAAAGTGGTTCAGTAAAATGTTCCGTTTACTAAAGTGTTTTATTTTCTTAGTAAATTGGGACAAGAGACCTTCAAAAATGGCTTAGATATCATCACTTGGGCCCTTTAAATCCAAACACATGTAAAAATGTTAAAACACATGTAAAATGTAGAAACACATGTAAAAATGTTCGCTACAATGGATCAGGAGCTGCTGATAACTTGATTACAGTGGTTTAACAACTTGGCAGATAAATAATTCATCTCCCAATTCCACATAGTTTACTTATAAGAGACTTGAGCTAATGAGAGTCAGTTGCAGTGGAAGAAATACAAGAATCAGCAGAATGTCTATATTTTGTCTTAAAAATTCCATATTGCTGGAGTTGGAGAGCTTTTTACTACTTTTTCTTATTTTCATATTCCAAAAGGATGTTAGGTTTGCAAGTGTAAACCTAAAACAGAAATCTATATCCACTTTTCTGGGAGCAAGTCCCCATAACTCAATGGAATATCCATTTATGAAGACACATATAGGATTTATGCTATACATAATTTGCACGTATAGATCTACAGAGTTCTCTTTGGAGGTTATTGAGGGCTCTCATTCAAAGAACCCACAGCTAAGGAAGATGTTGGAGGAAGACTATTTCTAGATTCTTTCACCCCAATGATAAACAAGAAAATAAGCATCAGTCTCTCGTAAATGTGGTAGCTGTAGCCAAACGTTCATGTTTCAGTGAGGACATGACCAAAGCATAGTAAATTGAGCTGTCCTTAGCTTTTTTTATTATTATTATTATAATGTAAGTCATTTTGGGAAATCCCATGGACTAGAAAGCAACACAGAATGGGTGGAAAGCAAAAATGAAGGATGTTTTATATAGCCCTAGGAGCCATACGTAACATTTGTCAGGGCCACAACGGATGGCGCAGTGGTGCAAACTGATTGAGGATTTTTGTTTTGGTTGTGGAGACTGGGTTTATTTTAAAAACTATGTTAAGCCCATAGTAGGGCTTGCAGTAGAGCTTTTCATGTAGCTTTTCCCTCAAAATGGTAAGAAATTATGCCACCAGTCTTCGGCAGTAATGGCCAGATGAGGTTCTGGAAGTCACAAAGAAGGGGCTTGGGGGCTGTATGTGACCCTCTAAACCAAGGATAACATGCTATTCTAGAAATGCCAGAAAGAACAGTATGCATTCAGCTATAAAAGAGATGTTTATCAGGTCTTTGAGCCACTCCTTCTGAAAAGCAACCAAGTTGCTCAAAAGACACACAAATTAAATTACAGATTTACCATATAGTGCTTCCCTTTCCTTGCCAGGCGTCATGGTTGGCGCTTTTGCTCCAGAATTGAGATCTTTAGGACCAGTCACAGCGGCTGCAGGAGAGAGAGTAAAAGATATTATATCCATACTTGGGGCAAACTGCATGAGTTGCAATATAGGCCAAATGCTCAACCTAGCACTCTTCTCCTTTCTTCCACCTGCAGTGGGGAAAGGCAAACACAGGTGAAGATCCTGCCCTATTTTATGGTTTATGGTTTGGCTCATTCACAGGATTCATGTGGAATTAAGGATTATTTCTTGCCCCACATGAGAAGGATTTTACAAAAATAGTACCAGAAACAAAAGTGCAGTTTCTTGAAGTCTGATTTACAGAACCTACTTTGATTATACAAAGTATACCCTAATCCTAACCTTAAATCCAAGGGCTAAATAGACATTGGGTTGCCGTCAAAGTATTTCTTTAGAAACTGAAAAATCTGGTTCAAGTAAAACATTTTTTTTTTCTTTAGCAGAAGTATATCTCTGCAAATACAAAAAAAGAGCCATTGTAAGGGAAAGGGGTAAAACAAAACACACAGGCAAATGGATAATGGGTTTTCACAGTTAATGGATAATTGCTAGAAGTTTAACCTACATTTTATGTTCCCATTCTAGAGAAAGAATGCAGTCAAATGCTTCTGTAATATAAAATATGACCATAACTTCTGGCAGCTGCCTCTATTGCACAGAAATGTAAAGGTTCAAGAAATGTTGAAACCACCCTGTTTCTTTATGAGGAAAAAAACCAGGAAGGTGGAACTGAAAAATACAGGCTTTCTGTTAATGACTTTTAATGCTTTAATGACACAAAAAACATCATTTATAACAATCAGGTTACTTGGTATATTAAACATGCACAGGTATATTACCTGTGCATGTTTTCTCAGAAGACTCAGTCTATTTGAGGATAAGCACATCTGAGATTATGCCCCCCTTGTCCCCCAGCAAAGGTATAATGCCTTTAGTCTATCTGGAGCTGTAACATTCTGACTACAGTACATCCAATGACTCACAGAGCTACAGCCTTCTGCTTTTCTGTTGTTTTCTGGTTTTAAGTTCTTGTTTGCCACCCAGCCTCAGTAGTCAGATAGGTGGCCATACAGGATATATTGTTTAAAAACAAACAAACAAACAAATAAATCCACCCTGCATATGATTTAAATATAAATCCTACTACTCAAGTACATATGCCATCTGAAAAAGAGAAATGAAGCTGAGAATGAAAATCATACATATTTTATGACATTTTATTATAATAAATAAAAGTATTATTGGAACATAAACAATGCCATGATGCCACATAATGTTAACTTACAATGCTAAAAACATTCTGTGTACAGTATACAAAGCAGAGACAGATTTCCTCCAGAAAAAGGGCTGTAAGGCTCTGCACAGATTTAACACACCAAAAAACAAAAAAGCAAAATTCCAAAACTTGTTCAGAAATCCACTCGAACTACTGAGATCTACTCATGTCATAGTCCGCCAACTGCTGTTATCAAATGCCAAAAGATAATTCTAAAGAAAGATGGCCCCAGAGTTGCCTATCCTGGTACACAGGAATGATTATTCTTTAATGCAGTCAACTTAGATAATAAAAATTTTCATGCTTGTACTACATAATGTAACTGTTTAAAATAATTGTTTTTCAAAATATACAATTTTTCTACTGGATCCTTAGGGAGGATGATTCCCAGACTGAATTTTTTCTTAACCCTTTGAAAAAGCTTGATATAATATCTCTAGCTTGACAAAATGAACTTTTAGCTCTTTTCAGATGATCTGTTTGTTCTTCATTAATCTTTCCCCAGAACGAACTCTTTCTTCCTAATAATCCTGCATACCTGAGCATTACAACCCAGATGAATGTGGCTTGGGTGATTTCTTTCAGATGAGAGGAGACTAACAAGCAGATGTGCTTTAGTTTTACGCTTAGACTTAATGGGGACCTCGGACTAAACCTTGTAGAGGCAGCATGTGACTTTCAGAGAGCATTTCTTGATTTTATTATCATGGATGAAAAACTTTAACTGAGTTTGCAGTATTACTCTGTAGAGCGGAAAGTGGACTGATGCCTATGATCTGCACCACTTCCACTTCTGATAATCTTCAGCTTTTGTTCAAGGCCAATCCAGGCTCAGAGGTTAACAAGACTGACGCTACTATGGGGCAGAGTCAAGCAACTGCTTCAGGAAGCAGGTCTAAAATACCCGCAAATTATTTATTAATTTGACCTGAGGAGCAACACAGTCATTATTTAACATATTATTATTGTATTTTTATTGTCAACTTAGGGAAAGGTAATTGTCACAGTAATGTGCCTTAGTTTAGGGATGCAGTTTGACTTAGGGAGACCCAGGTCACTATATCCAGTTCCCTTTTGGCTGGTCCTAGGAATCAAATTAAATGTGGAGAATGTTTAAAAACATGCTATGTTGTTTTCAAGATACAGTTTTCTAAAAAGGGATTTTGTGGTGTGGGATAAGAGAAAGGATGTAAATACAAAATTCTTGGTAATATTGGAGAGGTAAAACCAGCATAACAGTATAAAAACATTCATGTTGTATCTTGGAAGCTGCTCAGAGTAGTGATAGACTGGGGTGGCCTAGAAATTCAATAAATAAATAAAATTAGCCTCATTAAACTAAATTAATAAATACAAATTTTGAAACCTTTCCTTACAGAGAATTTCTAAGTCTCTGACCATTCAGGTCCTTTTCTGCATCTCTTTCCAGCTGTACAACTTTTGTAAGTTAGGCCAATCAGAAAGGTACACAAGACTCAAGAGGTAATGACAGCATAGATTTGTATAAAGGTAGTACATTGATTTTTATACAAATTGGCAGTTTTATTTTATTTTCAACTTTCCTGAGAATCCTACTATGCTGTCTGTCTTTTTATTTCCCCTTGAGGTTGACAATTTTATTGAATAACCCACAGTTCCAAGATCTCTTTCCTGAATTGCCGTTGCCAATGAAACACAAGCAAGGTCCCAGAATATGATCCTTGCCTAGCATCATATGAGCAAGTGGCCCTCTGTCAGACGTGCCACTTTACACCTCTTGTTAGCACAAATGTTTATCTGCCCTTAAAAACCCTCTATAAAGCTGAATGCAATTAAAGGAGTGGAAAATTATGGGCCATAAAGCTGTCTAAAGATTACTGTTCTTTAAATTTGTTACTCATTTGTCTTGGTTCTGACAGCAAAGTGTGTGAAGTGGCATGCCCAAGATTGTTCTTGCACATGTGCAAGGATTACACATGCACAAGAAGGACCATCTTGCAAATTATAATGATACTCCAAAGGGTCTTTTGCTGTTTTAACTGGTTATCTATCTGCCCTATCTGCTTGACTGATTCACAGTAATTGTCCGTGGAAGTCATTTGCATTCCTGTTACTCAAAATTAATTGAAGATGCTTGGGCACAGGACCCACTGATCTGCATGGAAGGCATGTGTACCATCACAGAACTATAGTTCCTTTCCAAAAACCAATTTTTCATACTCGCTACCACTGAAAAGAAAGGAACAGGTGTCTGCTTACAGAAGAGAAAGCAAAGACAAGCAGGAAATCAGACAAAATGTCTCACTGGCCTTGAACTTTGTTTTTTTAATGGGAACAAAGACAATTACAGTTTATCTGAACTGTCTTCTCAAAAAGAGCTCAGAATTATGAATGGGCTGACATGGGACCCCAGTTCTTTATAGATGTTTTTGTTTAACCATGCATACCATCTAGCACGCAAGGTTAGAGGTGATCAGAGATTGAATAAGGATAAGTCAACTTTGGCTCCGACGTCTGCCTCTCCCAAGTCAGCAATTCTCAACTCAGCTTCTCACCTCCACTGCTAAGCTATAAGGGTAACAGCTGTAAGATGCACTGTGATCTATGCATATCGATTCAAAATTAAGTCCTACTGAATTCAATAGGGCTTGTTTAACTTATTTCCAAGTGGTTGAGACTGCTACCCAAACCTTTAGACTGCAGTCACTTACAATGCAACTTGTCACTGAACTCAGTAGAAATGACACCCTCTTTTTAAAAATATAGGTCAAAACTTTACACACAGGCCATTCAACAAGATGAATGTCACACATTTATTGGAACAAATCATAATATGAAACACACATCTGCAGAACTTTAAAAACATAATGCTGTACAGTCAACTCAAGGCAAAAAAAAAAAAAAAAGTAAACACATCACTGTCACCTTTTGCAAACAGAAACAAATTATCACCAAGTAATAACTCGCATATCTTCTGAATCTAGCATACATATATTATACTCAAGATCAGATCTATTACTGTGAGAGAAGTTAATCCTGAAAGTAGGATCAGCTGCGGTATGTTCTTTATCACCATATACATTCTCTTTGTTTTAGTTCTGCACCAAATAAATAAATATAGTCCTCATTTAGCAACTGCCTTGTATAGCAACCATTTGCAGTTACGATGGTGATGAAAAAGTAACTTTACGACCAATCCTCACATTTACCACCTTTGCAGGTCTATAAAGCAAAGAAAAGCTACAGCACAGTTGCTGTTTCACTTAGTGACCACTCTGTTTAACAACCAAGTTGCTGGTCCCAATTGTGGGCACTAAACGAGGACTACCCATCCTCATCCTACACTGCAGCATATAGGATAAACTGAAAACAATTTAAAAGTTTACCTAAATGAGTTCCGTACACAGAACAGATTAAAACTCTCACATTTTTCCATTCCCTAACCTATATACACACATACAACAGGAGAAACTTTATACCTCTAGTTTATAGAGACTAATATTGTCAATAGCACCTATAAAGAAACAGAGTTACTTCCTAACAAGGGAAAGAAGATGGGGAAAAATCCTTTAAAATTAAAACATAACCTTTGCTGAATAGCTTGTAACTTTCTAGAAAATGCTACTTGAGCAGAACTAGTTCAAACTGCTTTCTTGGCTAGCCAAAAATTAAGCTTTGCTTTCAGCCAAACCCACTCATGTGTTAAAGTTTGTGATTTCTTCTGGGGAAAGAAAGCCAGATTTCACATTTATATGCCACAATAAGTTT